GGAGAACAGTAGAGGAGGTCGCAATGACCGGACCCCCAGAGGGGTCAGCGAGGGAGACTGCAACCGGCCGAGCAAGCTGCTCAAGGGCAGTGCGGTCACGAAAGAAACAGCGGGAAGCGCCTGAGTCCAGTGTGAAGGTGTGCAGTGCCTCAGTAGACGCAGTACCAGAGGGCGCAGACTCACGAGTACCTAGAGCAGCAGCCTCACCAGCACCTGGGGCAACAGACACACGAGCACCTAGTGCAGCAGCCTCACCAGTACCTAGAGCAGCAGACTGGATACCGGGGTCAGGCGGCACACACAGGTGACAGGCACTCTCAGCACTAGTAGGAAATGCATACATGGCAGTGAGGATAGCATCATAGTCAAGAGCATAGATATCTACCCTCTGCCTAAGCAGCTCCACCCATTCGGGGAGCTCAGCCGCGTCGCCAAACTCTGTACGCCAGGCGTCGCTCAGACGGGCGAAGCAGCGGGACTCTGTGTGACCAAACGTCCCGCAAGGCTGACCAGTCCGAGCACCAGTGCGAATGACGTACGGGCAGCGAGCAGTACCCCGTGACCCTCCACGCTGAGCGTACCACTCACGAAGCTGCTGGGGCGTGAGGGACTCACTCGGACGTCGCGGGAGCTGCATCTGGCCACCGCCAGGAGCAGCAGTAGCAGTAGTAGCAGCAGTAGTAGTAGCAGCAGCGCGGCCACCCCTACAACCCCAACCAGCATACCACTCACGAAGCTGTTGGGGCGTGAGGGACTCACGCGGACGGCGCTGGAGCTGCATCTGGCCACGCCAGGAGCAGCAGTAGAAGTAGAAAGAGCAGTAGCAGCAGGAGCAGCAGTAACAGCAATACGGGCAGGGCAGTGCTCACCATTGGCGAGAAGGGCAGGCGTACGACGGTGGTAACGGCGAGGCCGCTACCACTGCAGGGCGAGGGCTCCGCGGCAGCTGCAGGGGCGGCTGCTCCAGGGGCCAGGGGCGGCTGCAGAGGTCCAGGGGCGGCTGCTGCAGGGGCAGCTGCTGCAGGGGCGGCTGCTGCAGGGGCAGCTGCTCCAGGGGCGGCTGCTCCAGGGGCCAGGGGCAGCTGCTCCCTTTTTTTTTTTAATTAATTATTTATTTTAGGGTTTGGCAGAGCGCACTCGGCGCTGCAGAGGCGGCTCGCGGGCTGCAGGGTGGCTCGGGCAGCAGCGAGGGGGGGGGGGGGGGGGGGGGGGGGGGGCGCGGCTCCCCAGGGCGTCGCGACGGGGCAGCGGGGGGGGGGGGGGGGGGGGGGGGGGGGGGGGGGGGGGGGGGGGGCGCGCGGCTCCCCAGGGCGTCGCGACGGGGCAGCGGGGGGTCGCGCGCGGCTCCCTAGGGCGTCGCGACGGGTCAGCGGGGGCCGAGCGCGGCTCCCCAGGACGTCGCGACAGGGCAGCGGGGGGCCGAGCGCGGCTCCCCAGGGCGTCGCGACGGGGCAGCGGGGGCCGAGCGCGGCTCCCCAGGGCGACGCGACGGGACAGCGGGGGTCGCGCGCGGCTCCCCAGGGCAGCGCGACGGGGCAGAGGCAGCGCCCACGGGCGACACGCGGCTCGGCAGGGCAGAGCGCTGGCTGCAGGGGCGGCTCTCGGGCCTGACGGACCTGCAGGGGCGGCTCGAGGGCCGTACTAGCTTGCAGGAGGCAGCGCGAGGGCTGCAGGACGGCACGCGGGCAGACCGAAGGGCGGGTCGCACGGGGGCGCACGAGGGCGCACGTAAGGTAGGGCGCACGAGGGCGCACGAGGGCGCACGAGTATAGAAAGGCGCACGAGGGCGCACGTAAGGTAGGGCGCACGAGGGCGCTTCTAGCGGAATAGTGGGCCCGTAGGAGAAAGCGGTCCTAGGTAGCAACCTAGGCTCGTGATACCATGTTAGAATGTAGAATTGAACGAGAATGTGTGAAACTAGGCAGCAGGGTGATACAAGTAGGAAACCCTAGCAATGTTGTACCCCCTAAGGCTAAACCCACTATAGCCTACACAATATGAACATGTATAATGTTTGACAATCTGTCTTTTTTTGGCGCCTAAGAACGTGTATGGAGTCATCATGTCTGAAAGCTGTGTGACATGGATCGTGGATCACTTACTCTCACGTGATTCTCAAGTGTGTCAGAGTATGTCTAAGCTATGAGGTAGGCGTGTATGTGTTGGTTACTCGAGCTGACACGATTGCGTAATCACCATAGCACGGCAATGGACACACTGACACAGCTACTAGTGCTCGTGCTCTTGCTCTTGAACAAAAACTTTGGCTCAACTGGGAGCACGTAGAACTGGTAGCAAGTCAGTACTGCCTACCTGACTTCAGGCATGTTGGTATCAGCTACCTGACTCACCTCAAGTTTCGCCGTCTCTTCCCATCTCCGTTTGACAGGTACTCTTCAACAAACTACGCTATTTTTATAAAGGTGGCTATTTTCGACATAAAGTCGGGAGGAAAGATTCCAGTGGTAGATTCCAGATCAACCTGCACAACTGCTAACCCCGCTTACGGGAATATTCCTGACGCCAATTGGATGAATATAACGACTCAGCAAGGTGGTGGTCGCGGCCGTTACGGCTTTAAAATGGAGGGCAGTATGGCCCTTACGTCGAAGAGTGCTGCTTTCGAGAATGCGAAATACACCGTATCGCCCGGATATAAGACAGTGTTGAATAGTAGACAGGGGTTGTCTATTATACGGGTGTCTCTTATAAACAGGCTAGCCTTTTTATATGACGCCTATTTGTGTGTACGAGATAAGACATATGTGTCTTATAATCGAAACTGCAATGTATAATAGTGAAAATTGAAATACCGCGTACATAATTACCCTTGCGACACGCGAATTCTGCCACGTGCTGACTCACGTACTACCAAATTTGCCTCTGCAAGTATTCGGGATGACGTGGCGTCCCGAACAATGGTTGCCGAAGTGGCACCTTCGCAACATCCACACTCTTAATGAGAAACTCTTTTCAAGATGCGTGAAAATAATTCTAAGTAGTTAAGAAAAGGTTCCATTTATAAGACTTATAAGACACCCAAAACCTCCCCAAATACAAGATAACCCAAGTTTTTTTTTTAGTGTATGAGATAAGACATATATGTCTTATATCCGGGCGATGACGACATGATGGGTAATGGAAAGTTTTTTTTTTTAAGGGTATGAAGGGAATAAGTTTGCACTCTGTGGGAAGTATGCTCGGCAGAAATAAGCGTGATTTCTGTGGACATCGTGCATGTATGGTTATGTTCTGGTTTGGACGTGGTCTGAACGTATGGGTACTAATCTGATGTTTATATAATGATATATTGTAGTATTTGTATTGTAGTATAAGGGCTTGCATATACACAATGAATGAATATGTAATCTGTTTGCACTACTGTTGATTTTGCAAAGCTGGCCGGACTGACCGGCAGATTTCATTCCCCCTTGTCGTCTCGCTACTGTTGCCGGCCGGCAGAATGATTAGTCGGTTTCATAGCTTATTAGGGCGTGTCCGAAGTGACATGTCAACGGATATCGATGGACGTCGACGGATGTCAGGGCAGTAGGTGAGATTTTTCAGGCCGACATTGTGTCCGAAGTGATCTGACATCCATCCGACATCCATCCGTCATCCAGCTCTGTGTAATCATTACAGTCAAAGGGTGCAGCCAACAGTGACCTCGGGCTGGTCAACGTGGCGGTTGACGAACCAAATTATTGATAACAAAAAATTTGAGGGGAAACCATGGCGAAAGTATTTCTGGGCAAGCGACAGCCCTTCGTGACTTGTACGGGGTGACGAAATATGTTTGCGAAATTCGTGACTCGAAATTGAACCTTCAATATGCTCTCTAGTCTGCCCTTTCTGGCGCCAGCAGTGCCGGCCCCCATTTTTTGGGGCAGTTATGTCGCCGGCATTGTGTCCGAAGTGCCTCGACATCCATCTGACATCCATCCGTCATCCCCTGTCATCCGCCACCGTCATCCATTGGATGACGGATGGATGACGGACGGATGTCAAGGGTCACTTCGGACCCGCCCTCAGTGTCAGGTTCGGGATGAGGTGCATCCAACCACTCCTATCCGTACCCGTTCTATTAGGCTATCGAACAGGGCCTCAGTCGAGGACCACGTCTGTGGTTCCGGGTCGGGGTGATGGAGTGAATGGATGAATATTGCGAATCGGTTATTGGAACGAGTGAATTCATCTCTTGCGCTACCTTCTTTCGCTTTCTCTTCTTTCTCGACCGGCACTGCTCTGCGATCGCGGAACTGGTCATCGATGACCAGCTCTTCTCCACGAAATCGCTTTCTCTTCTGAGACGTCTCAAAAGTCGAAATCGCTTTCTCTTCTCCATCTCTTAGCACTGCCCCTGCCAGGACTGCGACGATGGCGATGAACTCGGAGCGCGCAGCACTCCTCTGCATGCTGCTATGTAAGCGCCGCGGCAACAAAAATGAGTTGAGATGATCGATTGACGTCCCCCTGCTGTTCCCCTCTGCATGCTACTACTCTGTAAGCGGCGTATTCATCACGAGTCGTGAGATGATCATCGATTCATGCCAGAGCAGTCATGAGTGGATCGGTGCGCTGCTCACTCTCCACAAGTGGTTCAGTGCGCTGCTCACTCTCCACGACTGGGTCCGTGGCTGAGTTTGCCTGCCCGCCTGCCTGCCCGCCTGCCTGCCCGCCTGCCTGCCCGCCTGCCTGCCTGCCTGCCTGCCTTCCTGCCTGCCTGCCTGCCTGCCTGCCTGCCTGCCTGCCTGTCTACCTGCCTGCCTGCCTGCCTGCCTGCCTGCCTGCAGGTGCGGCACTCTTCATTGCCCATGGCGCGTCTGCCTCATCGTTCCTCCCACACGACGCTGGAGCGATTGCTGCGTCTGCCACTGCTGCCACCTCTACTCTTCACCCCAGGCGTCAGCTGTTAAAAGGAAAAATAATAGGTGAGCGTGTGTAGCGCTTGTTGCGCGTGACGCGCCTCAGATTGTTTGTAACGCTTACTGTCAGTAGTTCTAGTCGTGCGAGCCCTTGCGGTCGTGCGAGCCCTTGCGGTCGTGCGAGCCCTTGCGGTCGTGCGAGCCCTTGCGGTCGTGCGAGCCCTTGCGGTCGTGCGAGCCCTTGCGGTCGTGCGAGCCCTTGCGGTCGTGCGAGCCCTTGCGGTCGTGCGAGCCCTTGCGGTCGTGCGAGCCCTTGCGGTCGTGCGAGCCCTTGCGGTCGTGCGAGCCCTTGCGGTCGTGCGAGCCCTTGCGGTCGTGCGAGCCCTTGCGGTCGTGCGAGCCCTTGCGGTCGTGCGAGCCCTTGCGGTCGTTCGAGCCCTTGCGGTCGTACGAGCCCTTGCGGTCGTACGAGCCCTTGCGGTCGTGCGAGCCCTTGCGGTCGTGTGAGCCCTTGCGATCGGACGAGCTCTGGTGGTGTCGTCAATGCGTCATGGTGCCACCTACCTACTCACTTCACCCTTCGACTAGCTGTGCCCCTGGGCTGGATAGTGCCCCAGGCCTGGATAGTGCCCCAGGGCTGGATAGTGCCGCGGCAGACGGAGAATGCCATTTCTACCATGCGACATGCGGCATATGACTCGATGTTGTTGTACATGCCTTCATGCAGCGATACAACGTGTCACTTGTATGATTGTATCCCTCCATTGACTTTTTCCTCGTCTGCCCGGTCCCTGCCATTCCCACTTTTCCAGCGAGATTCGGCGCCGTCTTGCGTCCCACGTGGCACCAGGGGAAAGTGATCGGCGACAAAGGGGCTTCGGGGAGAGTTGTTGTGAAGGCGGTGAGGTAAGGCTTTTGAGGTGCCTTGGAAGAGTTGTTGTCAAGGCGGTGAGGTAAGGCTTTTGAGGTGACTTTTGAGTTGACTCGAAAGTCACCTCGTGGCACCAGGGGAAAGTGATCGGCGACAAAGCGACCTCGGGAAGAATTGTTGTGAAAGCGGTGAGGTAAGGCTCTTGAGGCGCCTCGGGAGAGTTGTTTGTTGTGAAGGCTTTGATGTAGGGAGAGTGCCCTGTCCTTCACTTATTCTTAGCTAGTTCGTGCGCTATTCTTTTTTTTGAGGCGCCTAAGAACGTTTATGGAGTCATCATGTGTGAAAGCCGTAAGATTTGTCATTTTGAGGCGCTTTATAACGTGTATGGAGTCACCATGTGTGAAAACTGTTAGATCATGTCCCATTGATGTGGGACAATGTCCCATTGACGTGGGACAACGTCCCATTGATGTGGGACAATGTCCCATTGATGTGGGACAACGTCCCATTGATGTGGGACAATGTCCCATTGATGTGGGACAACGTCCCATTGATGTGGGACAATGTCCCATTGATGTGGGACAACGTCCCATTGATGTGGGACAATGTCCCATTGATGTGAGATCATGTCCCATTAATGTGAGATCATGTCCCATTGATGTGAGATCATGTCCCATTATTGTGGGATCATGTCCCATTGATCACTTGCTCTCAAGCGATTCTCCTGTGTGTCAGATTGTGCTTAAGCTGTGAGTGGGTTTAACCATGGTGAGGTACGGATGTGTGTGCTGCTTACTTACTCCAGCTGACACGATGGAAGAATCATCACAGCATGGCAACAGCCACACCGACACAGCTAGTGCTTGTGTTTTTGAAAAAAAAAAAAAAAAAAAAAAAAAAAAAAAAAAGCCTCAACTGGGAGCGAGCACGTAAAGAATGCTACTCGCGAGTCAGTATTGCCTATGCAACCTGTGACATGGAGGTTTCCCGTTAGTCAAAACAAGCAACCTGACTAACTTTAAATTTTCCCGTCTCTTCTCATGTCCGCTTGACAGGTACTCTGAAGCAAGATACACTGTTTTCCTGAAGATATTTATTTTCGCCATTAAGTCAAGAGGAAAAATTCCCATGACTACTCCTGCATCAACTTGCACAAGTGGCACCCCTTCTTACGTGAATATTCCTGAAGATAAATGGTTGAATATAACGACCCGGAGAGGTGGTGGTAACAAGCGTTACAGCTTCAAAATGGCGGCCACCTCGCCCACCACGTCGGAGAGTGCTGCAATTGAGAATGCGAGATTAATTACTGGCGGAGGGAAGTACTTTCTTGTAGGGCACGAAGGGAAGAAGTATGCGCTTTGCGGGAAGTATGTTAGGCGCAAGTAATACCGTAGCGCTTTCAAGTGGGTGATGTGATGTGTGAGAGGAAGTGGAGTGGTGTAAACCTATGGGTAACTAGCCTCCAGGTTTATGTTCTAAGCTGTTAGCCCTGGCTTGCTTGTGGACATGGCTTCTGTATAATGATCGTTTGCTGGAATGTCTACAGCTTCTGAGCAAGCAGAAATGAGCACTCATCCAAGTCAATCCAAGTCATTGCATGTAATGGCAACTAAGCTACCCTACAACAGAAACATGCACACACATCTCTGGCAGGTTCAGTCAGATTTGACAGAATCAGTCACTCTGACGGATTCAGTCAGGAAGGAACGTCCCATGGAAGCCATATGGCACCCTCTTGGGCAGAATGACCCGTGCCAGTGGCTGCTTGTCCAGATTCATTGCATCCAGCACAATCACTTCACTCCTCATCTCCTCCTCATCCCATACATGTGCCAACACCCACCCATCATCCTCCTCCTCTGCACCCATTCCAACCGCATCAGCACCCAGTCCCACCATATCTCTACCCATTCCAACTTCATCTGACCGCGTTTCACCGCTCTGCGACCTGCTGCTGCTCTGAAAGTGGTGGCGTGGAGCAAACACGGGCTCCCCACAAAACCTCCCCGGTGGGAGGGTATGTACCTGGTACGTGCCCTGTGCTAAGTCATGCTTCATGATGGCGTTGAATGAGGGGACGGTGGTGCCTGGTGGTGGTTGGGGGAGTGGGAGGAGGGGTGTGGAGTGGAGACACATGAAAGGGGGGCATTGGGCATCTGATATGTGCCGTGCTGAAAGCCATGCTTCATGATGGCGTTGAATGAGGGGACGGTGGTGCCTGGTGGTGGTGGGAAAGGAGGGAGGACGGGTGTGGAGACATATGGAAGGGGGGGATGGTGATGGATGGGGGGCATTGGGCATCTGATATGTGCCCTGCTAAAAGCCATGCTTCATGATGGCGTTGAATGAGGGGACGGTGGTGCCTGGTGGTGGTTGGGGGACGGGAGTGAATACAGAATGGAAGTAGGGCATTGGGCATTGGGCATAGACAACATCCTCAGTTCGTTCTTTGACACGTGTCACAGGAGACTGTTACCACCCCGCACCTCATCTGGACTGCTACTAACCCACCCATGCCCACCCACCAGCATCCCTGCCCACCCACCTGCATCCCTGCCCACCCACCTGCATCCCTGCCCACCCACCTGCATCCCTGCCCACCCACCTGCATCCCTGCCCACCCACCTGCATCCCTGCCACCCACCAGCATTCCTCTGAACCGCTCACCTGGGCCGGGCTGTGCTGTGAATCGGGCAGAGTAAGCGAACCGATGGGGGATGAGTCTACCAAACCCCCTCCCTGCCCACCATCACCCTCCCTGCCCACCATCACCATCCCTGCCCACCATCACCCTCCCTGCCCACCATCACCATCCCTGCCCACCATCACCATCCCTGCCCACCATCACCCTCCCTGCCCACCATCACCATCCCTGCCCACCATCACCATCCCTGCCCACCATCACCCTCCCTGCCCACCATCACCATCCCTGCCCACCATCACCCTCCCTGCCCACCATCACCCTCCCTGCCCACCATCACCATCCCTGCCCACCATCACCATCCCTGCCCACCATCACCCTCCCTGCCCACCATCACCATCCCTGCCCACCATCACCCTCCCTGCCCACCATCACCCTCCCTGCCCACCATCACCATCCCTGTCCACCCACCTCCATCCCTCTACATCCCTCGGGTCCATCCCTCTGCACCCTTCACCCTCACCTGGGCCGGGCTGTGCTGTGAATCGGGCAGAGTAGGCGAAGCGATGGGGGCGGCCCGTGAAATTGGGGTTGATGGAAGGGAAGTCGCAGCACACCTGTGCAGGTGGGGAGAAAGAAGGGAGGAGAGGCAAAACGGGGAAGGCAAAATGGGGAAGGCAAAGTGGGGAAGGTGAAGGGGTAAGGCTGAGGAAGTTGGGGTTGATGGAAGGGAAGTCGCAGCACACCTGTGCAGGTGGGGAGAAAGAAGGGATGAGAGGCAAAACGGGGAAGGCAAAATGGGGAAGGCAAAATGGGGAAGGTGAAGGGGTAAGGCTGAGGAAGTTGGGGTTGATGGAAGGGAAGTCGCAGCACACCTGAGCAGGTGGGGAGAGAGAGAAAGGGCCATTAGAGAAGGGAGGAAAGGCGAAAGGAGGTAGGCAGTGGAAGGGACATCGAATGAGAGGAGGTGGCGAAGAATTCAACGTGAGTTGGGATTGATGGAAGGGAAGTCGCAGCACACCTGTGCAGGTGGGGAGAGAACAGGGAGGAGAGGCGAAAGGAGTAAGGCAAAGACTTGAGGCGAAGAATTAAGGCGAGGGAGTAAAGCGAAAAGTTGAGGCGAAGAATTAAGGCTAATGGGGAAGGCGAAGGGGGACGACAAAAAAGGGACGGCAAAGATTGAGGTGCCTGGAAAACACACTACACATACCTTGCACAAAGAGCGCTCTTCTACTGCTCCCGACTGCAGATCCAGCCTGTACTCATGCAATCGCGCCACCTCATCACACGCTAGCTCATCTGCCAGCTCAGCAAGGCCCAGCGCTGAGAAGGCGGGGAAGCGGATGACACGTAGGATGATGGCGGGAGGAGGAGAGTCCGGGGTGGAGGACGAGGGGGAGGACGAGGAGGAGGAGGGAGAGGGGGATGAGGAGGTGGGGGCGGAGGAGGGTTCTTCAAATGCGTTGACCACATGAAGACAGAACCTGCAAGGATGCAAGGGAATATGAGGAGCAGGGGAAACGGAGGTAGGGATTGGAACAGAGAAAATTTGGACCATGTGCAATGGGGAGGAATGGATTTGAAGCCTAGCGAATGTTTAGTCTCAACCCGGGTCCACAGTGAACCAGCGAATGTCTGACTTAGAGCCAAAACGCGGGTGCTGCTTTGCTTTTGAGTCGACTCAAAACGCGGGTGCTGCTTTGCTTTTGAGTCGACTCAAAACGCGGGTGCTGCTTTGCTTTTGAGTCGACTCAAAACGCGGGTGCTGCTTTGCTTTTGAGTCGACTCAAAACGCGGGTGCTGCTTTGCTTTTGAGTCGACTCAAAACGCGGGTGCTGCTTTGCTTTTGACTCTGCAACACTCTCAAAACAGGATGGCAAAAAGGTTGTCACAGCAACTCACCCTGGGTCCCACAGTGAACCAACGCGTGTCTGGATTAGAGCCAAAACGCGGGTGCTGCTTTGTGTTTTACAATGCAAGTCTTGGCAGTGTACCAGGCTGTCATTACAGGGTGTCGCAGCAACTCACCCTGGGTCCACAGTGAACCAGCGCATGTCGGGATTAGAGCCAAAGCGGGGAAGCACTCCAATGCGAGATGGCTTGGACTGGATCGGGGGAGCGATGGGGAAGCAGAGAAAGAGAGGGGAACAGAGTCCGGGGCGAGAGAGCATAGTAGTCGATTGATGGGAAGGCAGAGGCAGCAAAGCGAGTGCGGGCAGGAGGATCAGCATCCTCCGGATCGAGGATACGCAGGAGGGTACGCAGTAACGATTACAAGGATCGAGTATCCTTCCAGACGCAAAAATCAGTGGCTTACCGGGTCGAAGACGAAGGGCTTGGCCTTGCCGTGCGACTGAATGACCTTGTCCAGCTGGAAGCGAAGCGGGAAGTCGAGGAAAATGCTGTGGTGCTGTGTTATGGCGAAGTCATGCATCTGAGAGGAGGGGTTTTTGGGGAGAGAGGGAGAGAGGAAGAGAGGAAGGAGAGAGGGGAGCGGGAAGGAAGAGGAAGGGAGGGGATGAAAAAGGAGTTGGGAGAGGTGATGAGGGGTTGGGGGGAGTGGAAGAATGTCAGACGCTGCAGTAGTCCGTAAACACATTACGGCATAACCCAACCATACCACGCCAAACCACACAAAAACACTGCTACACCACATCTTACCGAAACCAACAATCCATATGATGACAAAACATAACCCATCAGGCCATACCATACTACCCAATGCACCACATCAAACACTACTGCACCGCTCTCATGTACCATGACATGCCTTAATACCAACCAGCCCAGACCATGCCAAACCACATAGAACACTACTCCACCGCTCTGTACCATGACAGGGTGCAGCAGGTCGAGGTCAGTGGCATGAATGAGGGAGCCAGAGGGGTCAACCACCCCGTAGCGCAGATATGGCTGTGATTGTAGGGAAGAACACATGGGGAGAGAGTGGGAATGGGGTGAATATGGAGTGTGAGTGCAACAGGAGGGATCACCTAAAAGTCACTTAGTCACCTCTACGAGGCGCCTTTTCAGGCGCTTTTTGAGGCGCTTTTTGAGGCGCCTTTTCAGGCGCTTTTCTTTTCTGAGGAGCCTCAACAACAAGGTTGGAAGTCCCTTTCAAGTCCGAATCAGAAGCGTGATAGTGTAATGTGCGCTCTGATGTGCAGCTTTAAATTGAGGGTAAGCAACACCTCTTGGCGCACCCTTTTAGTAGTCCTACCTTGGGTTATGCTTTTGTGGCGAAATTAGTGTTGCCCCATGCGAGTTGTAAAACTGTGAAAGGGAGTAGTTACATTGTGATTCAATTCTTATCCTGTAAATCCTATGCTGTCAGCTCTTAGATTCTCAGGTCGTACCTTGTGCGTGAGGTTATAACCGTAGATCATCATGTGGTTGGTAACCGGATCCACTTTCGGGTGAGCTGTCATTCCGCTGCGCCACGTGTCATCAAACGAGTGGACGCCCTGAGGGAAATGCAGAATGAACGATGGAGCACATCCTTTACCCATTTTCTCTTGAAAAAGGGAAGCAGTGCACTATAGAGAAAAACGAAAACATCATCAGACTACCTAGCGGCTACATACCATAGGGATACTAGACAATAGGAGGTAGTCTCATAGCCTGATCTACCTAGCATCCTTGGTCAGATGTGCAATGTTACGCAAGAGAAGAGTGGCACAATGGAAAGGGGTGACGAGAGGCACAATGGGAATGGGGAGATGATGGGAGAGAGCCTGAGAGAGAGTAGGCGAGCACCGAGGGTAGTACCTTGGTGTCGAGGGTTGACGAGTCGAGTGAGTAGGGCAGGCCTGCTTCCCAGAGGGAGAGGAGGCGACCAGCGTGCTGAATGAAGTGGTTGTTTGACACGTTCTTGGTCTGATGGGGGGGGAGGGAGAGAGGAGGGGAGGGGAGGGGAGGGGAGGGGAGGGGAGAGGAAGGGGAGGGGTGAAGAATGAAGTGATTGATGGACAAGTTCCCCGTCAGGCCTGATGGGGACAAAAAGGAGGGGAGAAGAGGGACAGAAAAAAGGAGTAGATCAAGACAGGGCCTCTAGCTTCAGCCTCAGAATGACTTTTGAGTCATTCCAGGATGCTGAGACTTTTCTGAGGTCTCAGTCATTCCAATTTTGACTTTTCTCAAAGATGAAGAAAACGCTTCCAGGCAGCTTCAGCTTCAGAATGCTCATCACAGAAAACGGGCTCCCAGTCCCACCTGCTGCAGCCCACACCACACCATACCCATTAAAAGCACACCGTACACTGTACCCATTATAAACCTCCTCACCATTGTCCACATAGGCGCGTCCTGCTGGCTCAGCCTGAGAATATTCATCGCAGCCAGCAGCAGTTGGCTCGCTCCAAGCCCCACCTGCTGCACCACCCCCACCACTCCATACCCCTTATAACCCCAGTATCCCTCCTATAAGCTTACCATGTTCCACATAGGCGCGTCCTGCTGTCTCAGCCCGAGAAGGTTCATCGCAGCCAGCAGCAAATGGCTCGCCCCCAACCCCACCTGCTGCAACCCTCCAAACAGCGCCCGCCCCGCCGCCCGCTCCTCCTGCCAGCCTGTCGTTCGGATGTAGCGCCGCCCGTAGCTCACTTGCGGGGAGTGAAAGTTCTCCTCACGGGCTTCACGAGGGTGACTGTGAAAGTTCTCCCCAGGGGGGTGAAAGTTCACTGAATGTACCATGCCGTCCCCGTCGAACCAGTGGTAGAGCTCAGGGCTGGAGGGTGGCAGCTGCGGGTTCGGGCCATTGCGAATGAACCTACCCCGCAGACCCTGAGGGATCTGGCCGATCACCTGGTGTGAGAAACAAGAGAGAGGCAGAGAGGCAGAGAGGTAGAGAGGGATGGGTCAGGAGGAGGTGAAGCGAGGAGGGGAGGAAGCAGAGGTGGGAGAATGGAACGATCAAGTGAGCAAAGAGGTAGGTTCATTCTCAACCAGTGAACAGACACCCAAACATGTGGAGGCAGAGAGGCAGGCAGAGAAAGTGTAGGCGAGGGAGGAGGAGGTGAATATGGATGGCAGGAGATGGCAAGATGGCGAAGCGAGGTGGACACTCACCGCGCAGTCTAGCTCCTGCAAAACATGATTTCAAACATCAACACGGTGGAAACCACACACGAATTCAAACAGAGATTCCATTCCACGTGCATGCAAGTGGCAGGCAGGTAGGTGCACTCACAGCGCAGTCCAGCTCCTGCAGCACCTCGGTGCCCACTGGCCTGAAGTTGCCACTCAGATACGGATTGCAAGCAGGAGGGTTCTTGGGGGAACAAGCATACATGAACCTCCATGGCACTTGGTACTCACCGCGCAGTCCAGGTCCTGCAGCACGTCGGTGCCCACTGGACGGAAATTGCCACTCAGATACGGATTGCAAGCCAGGCTCCTGGCCGCTGCACTGCTGCTCGCACTGCCTTCAGTCTTGGGGACGTCCCCACCATCTACTCCTCCTGCTGCCCTCTCCTTCCCAGTACCAGCACCAGTAGAGCCAGCAAGAGGAGGTGGAGCCGCAGATCCTGAAGCAGAGGTAGAAGTAGCTTCAGTAGCACCAGCAGTGGCACCACCAGCTCCACCAGTAGAACCAGCAGCACCAGCAGTGGCAGCAGCAGCGGCGGCGCCGATAACAGAGAGCACGTCAGCAACGCCATGCACCGTGTGAGACGCCTGCCTGCCTCTCCGCTTTAACTGCGCCTTTGTCCTGGAGTTGGACGCGTCCAACCTTGCTTTCAGCGCCCCCACGTCCAGGTGCCCCTCCAGGTGCTCCAGGTTGACTCCCAGGTGCCTCAGCTGCGCCCTGGTCTTGGCGTTAGATGCGTTTAGCCTTGCCTTCAGTGCCCGCACGTCCAGACGCTCCTCCAAATGGAGCAGTTGCTCGGAGTGAATCAGATGCTGCAGCTGCTCCCGTGTCCGTTGATTTGATTCTCTCAGGTGCTCAGACGTCCACTGGTGCCCCTTCTTCAGGTGGCTAAGCGTCCACTCGTTGGACGCGTTCAGGCGATTTCTCAGGTGCTTCAGGTTCTCTGCTGTCCGTTCATTCGACCGTTGCAGCTGCCGCTTCACCTCACTCAAGTCCAGATGCGCTGTGAGCCATTGATTGGGTTGATCAGAAGCAAGAGAAGGCACCCCTGCTGATGCCTGCTCCTTAGTCTGCTCCTCCTGCTCCTCCTGCTCCTCCCCGATTGTTCCACTCCCTTCCAGCTCCCCAACTGCCTCCAACTCTCCTATAAATTCTTCCCTCTCTCCTGTTCCTACCTTGTGCCCTCCATCCCCATCACCACCAGCACCGGCATCACCAGCAGAAGCAGCAGCAAGCAGCGGCAGTCTTGAACTGGAGCCATAGTTAAAGCCCATTTTCCTGGTCTTACAGCTGGTTCTCAGCAGAGTGGGGTAGGGGGTTCTCGACCTCCTGAAGCTAGTAGGAGAGTGCACGCCGTGCCAAGAAGGGAAGATCGATCGGTTGGGACCGGTTGTGATGGTGCAACGGCGAGGGAGAACGGAGCTCGTCAGGAATGGAGCTGTTGCGGAACGGGAAGGGCGAGGGGAGCGGGTGGCTCCTCCTGAAGCGGAGATCCCGGCGATTGCGGCGGAGTTGGAAGCCATAAAACCTGACAGAGACGCCATGGCTGCGAGAGTAACCGTCAGAAGGCAAGCAGCATAAGTCTGCAGGCACAGTCGACAGCAATCCGGCCAAGCGTGTAACCTCTAGCGACAAGGACCCCTTTCCAGGTATTTCTCCCTCCCCTTCGTCCTCCCCTTCTTCCTTCAGCGTTACTGCGTCAAGCGTTAACGACTCCGAAATCCGTGCAAGCAGACCTCTGCTAACCAGGTTCGATACTGACTACTTCAGCAGGTGATGATACAGTAGCTCTTGATAAGGAGCTCGCGATTCCTCGGGAGATATCCAGATTCCTAGGAATTCCAAGGAACGAGTCGCTGGTAACGCGACTGCATTCGGAGAGCGGCTCGGTCGTCGTTAATTGATACGGAATCGGCGGCTCGGCTGGCTTTGATATCGTCATTCTGGGATCAGATTGCATTGGCGTCGGGACACGCGGCGGCGCGTGGTTAGAGCAGACCGCCATGGCCGGTGCAGCTGCTGCGCTGGATGACCTTGGGCACACCTGTCGCTCGAATATGATCACCTCTGACACGAATGGCCGAATGTAAACACCTGTCGTTCCAAGGTAATAATCTCTGACACGTTACTAGAAAGTGTGTTCGGAGGTGACGAGGTCAAAATTTTCTGTTATAAATTTGAAACGAGCTTGGGGTGCAAGCCGGTGTAGCTCAGTGGTAGAGCATCTGTCTTGTAAACAGAAGGTCCAGAGTTCAATCCTCTGCGTCGGCAGTTCTTTTGTTCTCTCTAGCCATCTGGCGTTCGCCACTCTGGCACGATCGTCCAATCGCGAATCTGCTCCTCCCAAATAATGGGGAAAACAGGTGGAAGGCAGAGATGCAACCTTCAAAATGAATTCCCCTGCCCGCTGGGAGATATTTTGCGGTGAATGAATGCTTCCTCGCAAAACGGCAACTTTTCTCTTCAAGCTTCTTCGGGAAAAGTTTTGCCCAGAGAGGAGAGTGAATGCTGGCTCGCAGCGCGGCATAATCCATGCTCTGAATGGATTCTGCATGGTGGCTCTTGGGCTCAAAGGACATTCTAGAGCTCGATGAATTGTGACTTCTGGCTTACCTCCGAATTTTTCTGTGACTTTTTGCAATACGCCACTGCTTCGACAGGCGCGTTCCTCCATTCATGTCTGAATGCCTTAATGATTCTGAACTAAGCGTGGTTGACCTAGCAGCGCGTACAAGGCGATTCTCCTGAATCAACACGTGGCGCGTTCCTCCATTCATGTCTGAATGCCTTAATGATTCTGAACTAAGCGTGGTTGACCTAGCAGCGCGTACAAGGCGATTCTCCTGAATCAACACGTGGTGGGAAGACGGAGATAGTGCCGTAAACACTCTCTAATTGCTACATTTGACAGGAACTTAATAAACCAAGAGTTTCCGTCGCAAGGCGACTTTCGCATGCTTCCCCGCATTACGTAACTTCAGAGTACCTTTTTCGCTAATTCACGACCATCTATTCGCAACACTGCAGAATGGCCTCGTCGATCCTTCACTACCCCCGATCGTCGATTCTTAGACCACAGCATCACACCAACTCTTCCGCAACCCGCCTCGATAGTAACTTACTGCGTTCCAATGTAGTACCTGTGCGGAAGCCTTTCAAGGTGCAAGCCAGCAGCAGTAGCAGCATTACCAGCCGTCAAGACCGGCGCAACTGTATCAATGGCCAAATTTCCTCGAAACCCTCGACATTTCCAGGAGATTTGCAGTCTCACATCCAATCAGCAGCTTCGCGGATTCTCCTTCCATCGTTGCTCGCGGCGTCGCTTCTTACCACCGAGGCCATGCTTCCGCCTCAACAGTCTGCTGAGCTGGCACCGCTGTCTGGCGCAGCAGTGGAACGTTTGGGTGATGTGACAGAGATATTTCGCGGACCTGCAGCTGACGTGGCAGGGGTGGGCCTGCGGTGGTCAGGGTTAGGGTTACCATTGGGAGGTATCGGCACCGCGCGTGCAAACGGATTGCTGCAAATGCCGCCTACTGAGCTGAAAAACACGTGAGTGCAATGGTGTGAGTTGTGATTGTATCGAATGTGATTGTGTTGGGTGGTTGTGTGAGGTACAAGAGTGGTGAATGTGACTGTTTCGAAGGCTTTCCGATCGCCCTCCCCACTCCCTCTCCCACTCCGTCCTTCTTCCAGGTACTACCTGGTGAGAGCAGGAGTGGGAAGCTCTGGGCATGATTCACATCACACCAACCCCATAGACAAGACCAACGTGCAAATCGATCCGAGAAGGGCAATTCATTTTCTCTCCCTTCATCTAATTCCCTCTCCTTGCCTCCCCCTCTCTCTCCCCCTCTCCCACTTCCGTCCCCAACCCTACCCCCACCCCCACCCCCACCCCATTCGTTTTCTCCCAGGTACTACTTAGTAAGAGCAGGCGAGTCAGAGTGGGAAGCGCTTGGGCTAATTCACACCAACCCCGTAGACAAGACCAACGTGCAGAGTGGTCTATCAGGGGAGGGGAAGAAGCAGGCGGTGGAAGCTGCCAGGAAGCTGCGCAAGATGGACGCCTGCGGTGGAGGGTGCTGGATCTGGCCGTCCATTTCCCAGCGGGCGTATCAGACGGCTGAGGTCGTTGCTTACGTAAACGGCGCGGATTACAGGTGCGTTGGCAGTTAGGGTGGGGAGGTACACATACACGTACGCTGTGACACTTTGAGTCGACTCAAAAGTCAGGGCGGGGATGTACACATATACCTATGGTGTGGTGTGGACAGCACGGCAGAGTCTTAACTTCCCCTCACTCGTACACTTGATGAGTCCACTCAAACTTTGTCTGGGGATTCAAATATTGACTGAAAGGCGTTCTTGTCTTTCAACCATCAGTCAATATTCAAATATTGACTGAAAGGCATGGGACGTTGAACCGTCAACGGCTTTGAAACTTCTCTCCTCTCTCTCCTTGAACCTCCCCTCTCACTCTCCCTCCTCACCACCGAACCTCGCCTCTTCCTTTCACCACCCCTCATCACCAGCTGAATCGTGCCAGAGTACAGCTTTCTGGACGCCAGGAGACTAGGGGTGTCGCCTCCCTCCCCTTATACCTCCCCTCTCAGCTCCCTCACTACCCTTGGCCCATCTCACACCCCACTACTTCCTCAACCAACCCCTCATCACTCCTCGACCAGCCGCATCGTGCCAGAGTACAGCTTTCTGGACGCCAGAGGACTGGGGGCGACTCCTTATCTCACCGTGAACCTTCCCTCACCACCCCTCACCACCCCTCACCACCCCTCACCACCCCTCACCACCCCTCACCAACCCCCACCACCCCTCACCACCCCCCTTCCACCAGCCGCATCGTGCCAGAGTACAGCTTCCTGGACGCCAGAGGACTGGGGGCGTTTGAAGGACAGCCGCTTGAGATGATGAGCGAGGTGGGTGTGGTGGTGGGGGAGAGTTTATGGCAGAGCTGGGGAGAAGATTGGTGGGAAGGAAGGGGCTGGGAGGGAGAGAGTGGGGGAGAGAGAGGGGGAGAGAGAGGCTGGGTGGAAGATAAGGGGGGAAGAGAACGGCTGGGTTGAAGAGAGGGGTCAACAGGGGAGATTGGGTTTTAGGGGGGAAGAAGGGGGGGGGTGGAAGGGCTATGGGGGGGGGGAAGAAGGGTTATGGGGGGGGGGAAGAAGGGTTATGGGGAAAGAGAGGGCTTGGTGAAGAATGGAGTTGGGGATGGGAACGGGGTGGGGTGGGGGGAAGGAGTGATGAGGTGAATCAACAGCAATAACGATCTCCATGATGCTTAGTTCACATGATTTGCTGTGTAACCACTCATCTCCCTTTCCCACAACGTAATTCGTATCTCCCTTTCAGTGTCATCACTCATCTCCCTCGCCATGTGCCCCATGCCATTCCGTGCCCGTGCTCTCATCACCAGGTGTACCAAGAAGACTGTCTCCTCCAGGTGGCGCCCGCACCCCTGCACTGACGGCACCCCCCATGAGAGCATACCGGACGTGCTTGTGAGAATGTCTCATGCCCCCTCTTCACCCACCCATCCCCGCTCCCTCCCTTCTCTTCCTTCTACTGTGCCATTTCCCATCCGCAGGTGTACCCAGAGACTCTGTCTCATCCAGGTGGCGCCCGCACCCCTGCACTGACGGCACCCCCCATGAGAGCATGCCGGACGTGCTCGTGTGGGTGACTCAGCTCCACCCCCCATCCCCCTTCCCTTTTACTGTGTCATCCCATCCCATGTCTCATCCACAGATCTACCTAGAGAACTCGGTTTCCTCCCGGTGGCGCCCGCCCCCCTTCACGGACGGCACGCCCCACGAGAGTGTAGCAGATGTGCTCGTGAGAGTGACGCAGCTCATGTCCATCCGCGAGACGCAGTACTCACGAGATGCTTGAGAGACGCTGCAGCACTCACGAGACGCCGTGGTGATCGTGTCATGTCGATCCTCTTTGTGCTTGTGCTCTCCTCTACAGATCTATTTGGAGGATTCTGTGTCGTCCCGCTGGCGCCCGCCGCCCTTCACTGATGGCACGCCCCACGAGAGTGTAGCAGACGTGCTCGTGAGAGTGACGCAGCTCATGTCCATCCTCGAGACGCAGTATTCCAGAGATGTCGTTGTGATTGTGTCGCCGGATTCCGACTGCCTCTCCGTGCTACAAGCTGCCCTCATTGGCAAGGACCTCAGGAGGTAGGTGAAATGGGGTAAGGGATGTTTTTTGAGAGTTCTCAAAAAACATTTGTGAGAATTCTCAAAAACCATACGCTGAGACATGTTGTTGTTGGCAGCTCATGTCCATCCTCGAGACGCAGTACGCAAGGGATGCCGTGGTGATTGTGATGCCGGATTCCGACTGCATTTCCGTGCTGCAGTCTGCCCTCATTGGCAAGGATCTTAGAAGGTGCGTGAGTGTGGCAGTACTCTCATATCAATCCTCGAGACGCAGTACGCAAGGGATGTCGTCGTGATTGTTTCACCGGACTCTGACTGCCTCTCCTGCTGGAAGCTGCCTCTCCTGCTGCAAGCTGCCTCTCCTGCTGCAAGCTGCCTCTCCTGCTGCAAGCTGCCTCTCCTGCTGCAAGCTGCCTCTCCTGCTGCAAGCTGCCTCTCCTGCTGCAAGCTGCCTCTCCTGCTGCAAGCTGCCTCTCCTGCTGCAAGCTGCCTCTCCTGCTGCAAGCTGCCTCTCCTGCTGCAAGCTGCCTCTCCTGCTGCAAGCTGCCTCTCCTGCGGACTCTGACTGCCTCTCCTGCTGCAAGCAGCTTTGATTGGCAAGGACCTCAGAAGTTGCGTGAATGTGGAACAATTTGGACGTACCAGCAGCGGCTCTCATGTCAATCCTCGAGACGCAGTACTCAGGGTCTTTTTTTTTAGAATTCTCAAAAAATTCCCGCAGCATCATGTCAACTCAGGAGAGCTGTGGTGACATGAACCGCATCATGACTCTGGAAGTGTCACACTTCCAGCCAGCCTGGGGAGGTGAAGTAAATCGACATCAGCAACAACAACCCCTTTCTTCCTCTCCCATGAACCGCATTTCTTTTGAGTCGACTCAAAAGGCAAATCGACATCAGCAACAACCACCCCTTTCTTCCTCTCCCATGAACCGCATTTCTTTTGAGTCGACTCAAAAGGCAAATCGGCATCAGCAACAACCACCCTTTTTTCCTCTCCCATGAACCGCATTTCTCTCTTCCTCTCCCTCCACCCATCTGCTGTTGCCTTTCCTTTCCATTGCCTCTCCTTCCCCCCTTCCAGTCACAGCGACTTGTACTTTCAGCCTGGGGAGGTGAGGCAAGTTGACATCAGCAATAACGTCCCCCCTCCTCCCATATCCGGTCTCATCTCGCTCAAAGTGATTCAGAGATAGTTGAAACAGAACATGCTGAATATTTATGAACACATGCATGGTGCAATGTCTAGTTGTGTAGGAAATTTTCATTCTTTTTTTCCTGCCCGTTGTTGGTGCAATTTGTAGCATGTCACAAAAACTGCATTAGCTTGTCCCCTGGCCTGGTGTTTACAATGCGCCTATACACAAATCCACAAATACTGAATGACTAATGCATCAGCAGCCTTTCAGCACACCTCTACACTAGAGATAGCTTCATAGGATTGTTTAGTATGACTTATACCATAATACGGTATGCACTCCCGTACACCATATAAAATTCCAGGATATTAAACACAGGCACCCATCTATACAAAGTCCAGCCGCATCCACTTTCCAGCTATTGGTTAGCTCATACTTTATTCCGTAGTACAAACATGTAATGGTCCCTTTGCTCCTGGTGTACCAGTTCTTATTAACTACCTTCTTAAGGCCCATGGCCCTTTGACATCTTGCCTTCAATGTATCACCAGACCCCGGCCCAGCCTCTGCCCCCACCTGGCCGTTTCCTTGTACGCTCCCCGCCACTCGCTCCCCAATGATGCTCCTCAATGATGCTCGCAACTCGCTCCCCAACGATGCTCCTCCCTAAGTGTAACGAATTACTCCTTGCTTCACATTGTACTATTTGCTCTCCCATGCCCACAGCTTATCACTTAGGAGGATACCGGATGACTCCTTTCTTGGTGTCATACCATTCGCCCAGCTGAATGAAAGGCTCAGGAGCCCACGGTTTTCCGTCGCGGATCTGCCCAGGCTTCACCCATTTGGCCCGCGGCTTGTATGCTCCCGGCCCCTCGCTGTCCTTCTCAGCGTAGTAGACACACTTGCCGTAGGTGTCGCCATTCCACGTGCTCCATCCCTCCTTGTTGATTTGCTGTTGTGGGTAGAGAGGGGTGTGGAGGGGTGTGGAGGTGTGTGAGGGATTCCCTTTTGCACATAAGACCTCTGGCTTGTTCCCACCCGGTCCCTCGCTGTCCTTCTCAGCGTAGTAGACGCACTTGCCGTAGGTGTCGCCATTCCACGTGCTCCATCCTTCCTTGCTGATTTGCTGTTGTGGGGTAAAGAGGAGTGTGGAGGGGTGTGGAGGGGTGACGAGGGTTGAGAAGGGTGGGAAGAGGTGAGGACGACAGGCACGAATTTCGCACATGAGCTCTCTATGGCTTGTATGCTCCCGGCCCCTCGCTGTCCTTCTCAGCGTAGTAGACACACGTGCCGTAGGTGTCGCCATTCCACGTGCTCCATCCCTCCTTGTAGATTTGCAGTTGTGAAGAGAGGGGCGAGGAGGGGTGAGATCAGGAGTGGAGGGATGAGGGGTGAGGATGGGTGAGGAGGCATGAGTAGGTGTGAGGTGGGACGAGGAGGGTTTGAAGGGGGGAAATGGGGAGGTGGTCCAGCACAGGGTGAACCGGGTGAGCTATAGGATAGTTCAGCTCAGCTCAGCACTTACATATTGGAAGGGCTTGGCATAAGTGCCGCAGGGGAAGTGGGAAATGTATCGTTATTAAGAGTAGAAGCTAGCTTACCTTTGCAAGGTATGTGTTGATGTAAAGTGTACGCGCGCACTTCTTCCAAGGCCGTCCCAAGTAACCAGGAGTACCGGTAACACCCTTTTCCGCTGTTACAAACGAGTAGCGAATCACGATCCCCGTGGGCGTTTCGCTTTCCCTCCCCGACGCGGTAATCGGAATGTTCGATTTCCCCGCGCGCATCTCAATGGTACAGTTGTCAATGACCGCAGCGGCATTTCCGAAAATAAAATCCGTGATACCGGATATGAAGCTGTTTCTGTAGTACTGGCGGCCAGAGTGGGTGTAGAGCGTGTCCTGGTAGCCTGTAACGGAGCAGTCGTAGACGACTGCCTTGTCCGCGTCGATCATCAGCGCCACGGCTTGGTTGCCCTGAATTCCTGCAGTGTTTTCGAACTTTATCCCCGCTGCCTGGAAATAGTTCTTCTTTACACCTGAGATTGAGTAGCATCGGCAGAAAAACGAGGAAATTCGGTGTCAGGGGTTTGGGACAGGGACAGGAGTAGCTCAACTGATGGACTAGCTCAAATAGACGTCTAACGAAGACAGGATTCGAGACGGAAGAGGAAGCACGAGGAAATGTGCATGTGAAATGGGAGCGGAGAAGGCGGTTCTTACAGAGAAAAGGCTGTACAGAAAGACATAAGCACATTGTTGGTAGCAATAGTTGGTATTACTCACTGACTGTCGCCGTGTTGTATGTGGTGAATCCGCCAGCAACACTGTCCTTCCCCGTTATAATCGTCTTCGACGCGCCGTCTCCCACCAGAATCACGCCCTCCCGGTTCACCAAAACCTTCTCCTTATACGTTCCCGCCTTGATGTACACCACATACAGCCCCGTTTTCGGAGCTGCTTTTAACGCGTCCTTTATCTTCTTGTACCTCTCGTTCCTCCCCACCACGGCGTTCGGCTTTAGCTTCTTCACTTTCGCCAGCTGAAGCTTCCGCCCGCGCTCCGCCCACGCTTGCGCCTCCGCGTGATCTCCCTGCATCCGCGCCTGAAGTTCCCTGATCCGCTCGTACATCCCCGCCTCAACCCACGAAGGCGGCTCCCCCGGGCCGCCGCCTTCTAGAGTCTCGCGGCGCGGAGAGGGCGGCTTTTGCGCGGATCGGCGGGCGGCGGCGGCGAGGAGCGCGAGGGCTATGGCGGTGTCGAACGATTTCTTCAGATTCTTGCCGTGGGATGTTAGCGACTTTCCCGCGTGCGACTTGAACGTGTCGACGGCAAACTCCCAGATTCCGTCGAGGCATGTGGTGAGCTGGTCCCGAGCCGCCGTGATCCAGAATGGTACGTCCTCGGAGTTAGTGCGCGCTTTTAGCGCCGCGGCGGCCTTGGCGAGGTGATAGAAGGCGTTGGTGGTCTGCGGGAAGGACGTGGGGGTGCGTGCAGTGGAAAGAGGGGGAGCGAGGGGGGCGCGGGGTGTGGTGGGGGGAGGGCGCACGGCAGGAGGGAGATGGGGTTTGAGACGTATCGAAACTCTTCGGCTGTTTAAGAAAACCACGATAGTAAGGGGTATATGGAAGGAGAGAAATGGGATCATTGCGGAAAGGTCGAGACAGGTCGAGGTTATGAAGTGACTTTATTACCAGATCGAGACAGTCGGTTGTCACGGCTCCCGACATATTCGCGGCACCGCGGCTCTTCTTTATCGCGGATACTCTCGCCATCACCCGCTGCATTCCCGCCGTGATGTTCGCAACGAGCCCCGGCGCAAGCTCACTCGTCGGAGCGGGAAGCACACCGAGTTTCCGCCGCACGTCGCGGAGCTGCTCCACGCAATAGCGCGGATCGGATGTGTCGGCGCAAAACGCGGGTGGGTGTAGGATGTAGTAATTGTCGACGGCGTGACACGTGGCAAGGACGGCGATTAAAGCCGCGACGAAGCCCACCGCACCCCAAGCAACCCTGCCGGTCCTCGGCGAAACCAGCGCCATGGCTTGCGGCTGGGAAGGAGGTGGCAGCGTTGCTGGTACTGATCTCGGAAAGCCAAGGCGGACTGAACACTCACAAGTACACGGAGAGGTATTCCCGAAATGAAAAAGACACCATGTGGTTCTACAAAAGCACACTGAGGCTGAGACTCGTCCATATGTGGTTCTTGTACGGACATTCTCATCGTGAAGAGAGGAAGGGTACCGAGTGCAAACCCGATGGCTCTGTGAAAGTTCATGTGCACGTAAAACGGAGCGGCTAGCGGGTGGTGGTGGCCCGGTGCACCAGAGCAGCAAGGCATGCTTCCAACACACCACAATTCGAGAAACATTTTCGCACCTGCGATTGGTGCGGAAGTCACGTCCAATAAACGGCAGCGAATGTGCAGGCAAGTCTTTCCGATCTGCTTCAAAAGTCTCCTGTCCCAAATTCGGGGGGGAATGTGGTTCGAAATCGGACCGCGCATTTCAGCGATTTTTTGTGGGTTGTGCGATGCGTTCGCCGTGCCGCGTCGGAAGCAGTGGCCTGGTCACACTTGTGCTCGCTGATGAGTAGCTGATAGATGTGAGGCTGAAAATGAGTATACCATATAGAGCAGACTCAATATGGATACATAATGACTTCCAACTTAGCAAATGGAAGGATAAATACTGACATGGAAAATAAGTGTTTGACATGGCCCACACATATTGACAGGCTTTGTGCAGCTTGATAGATTTTAGAGTTGTGAAAATAAATAGTTTTTGCTATCCTAGTTGGTCCTTTCTTTTCCTTGAGTTGCATAAGCCACATTAATATGGTAGAAACCCTAAGCAATCATTGTGTATACGTAGGCTCTTCTCCTATGCATACGTTGCTTTGATAGTCATGCAGAGTGAAGCGACAATTTAATTGCTCTGTCCAGAGACTTCTTGACTTGTCTGCCATGTGCCTGATATGGGGAAGAGGGTAAGCAAGCAGGCAGACGATGTAACACAGCACCGGAGGGGGCATGTCAGGGAACTGGACGCCAGCAGAGCACCTATGGAGAGCACTGTCTGAACCGTCCAGGCATGTGGTGACGTGGTCCTGTGGCACCGTCAGCCAAGTCAGCATGTCCTTCTGAAATTGCTGCGCCAATGATTCTCGCCTGGAATGACTTTACGGCTGGTGTGCTGAGAGTAGCGGGGGAGAACACTCCGTGCAGGCACGTGCTCACTTGGTCCTGCGCAGCTGTCAGCCAACCCAGCTCGCCCTGCAAAGTAGCTGCACGCCCTGAGTGCATAGAGTCTCACCTGGAGCGACTTTCCAGCTGGCGTGCTGAGAGTGGCAGGGGAGAATTCTCTGAAGCCGTCCAGGCACGTCGTCACCTGGTCCTGCGCCGCTGTCAGTGAGTATGGCACGTCACTCGTGCCGCTGTGCGTCTTGAGCGCCTTGGACACATGGGCTAGTTGATCCAATGCAGTGGCCATCTGAGGTGGATGAATGGGGGGGAAAGGAGGGAGGAGAACGGAGAGAGGGGTTAGGGTAGCGGACCACGTCCCTCGCGCTGCTCTGCGCCTTTAGCGCCGTGGACACGCGGGCTAGTTGATCCAACGCGGTGATTATCTGAGGTGGATGAATGGGGGGAAAGCGGAAACGGGGGGTTAGGGTAAACGGCCGTGTCCTTCACGCTGCTGCGCGCCTCCAGCGCCTTTCCCCGCGAGTCGCTAGTTAGATGATCCACCCGCGGTGGCCACCACCTGAGGAGGGGGAGAGGGTTGGGGAGCAGAGAGGGGAGGAGGGGGGGGGTGTGGGGGTGTTTGGGCAGGGGAGCATTTCTTGCATTGCTGCGCGCTTGGAGCGGCCTTTCCCCGCGAGTCGCAGGTTAGATGATTCAACGGGGTGGCCAGATTGTTTTTTAGAATTCTCAAAAACATTCTGCAGCATGATGATCCAACGCGGTGGACATCTGAGGAGGGGAGGAGGGGGAATCAGAGAGGACCATTGGGAGGGCGGGAGCTTTAAGAAAAGAATCAGGGAACGCTTAGCAAGGTTTCTGGATTGGTGCAAGCTTGGAGCGGCTAATTCTGCTAGCTTACTGAGCCATAGACAATGGAACGACATCGTGTATCTCATTCTTCTTTCTTTCTTTCTTTCTTTCTTTCACTTAGCTGGTGAAACGCACCAGAAAAAGGCAGTCGTTAGCGCAGGAATCCGTCATCTTCGTTTTAGTGCGGCCCTTCTTTATCGCGTAAACCCTCGCAATCACCACCTTCACTCCCGCCGTGATATTCGCCACAAATCCCGGAGTTAACTTCCCGCCCGAACCGCCTCCGCCTGCTGCTAGTGACCTCCGCAAAAAGCTCGGCGACACGGGCGAGCGCGCCGGGTAGTAGCGGAAGGACTCGCTTCCCACAGCATGACACGTGGCAAGAACGGCGACGAGCAGAACGAGGGCTACGGCTCCAAAGGCAGTTCCCCGCGCGAGGAGTCGAGCTAGTCGCGGTGGTGGTGGGGCGCAGGACCCGTCTTGAGGGGAATGTGCGGCAGCGTCGCATTGGGGTGGTATTTGCGTGAAGCGTGTGATATTAGATTGTGTGGGGGACAATAGGGAAGGAGCCGACGCGGGAGCCGAAGCGGGAGGCGACGCGGGAGGCGACGCGGAGTCGCTGGACATGGCGGTCGCTGAGGTCATCACGGTCGACAGAAATTGGAATGGAATGATATCGAGCGGCTTAGCTTGTGAGAATTCTCAAACGTAACTCCGGCTTAGCAGCGAACGCGGGCGTTTCTACGGATATGACCTTTGAGTCGACTCAAAAGCGGGGCTCAGCTCTTCTGGGCTCTTCTGGCTGAAAGGGTTACTACACTGGCTGGAGTTTCGTAGGACTACTACTCTCAGTTCGCGATACTCTTAGAGAGTTCGTCTTTCGGAATTCGTTGAATGAATTAGAAAGATAGAGATGACGAGGGCCGCTAAACTCTGGGCATTTAAGCGTCGGACTCTAAGAAACAAGCTTGGTTCCGATGTTTCAAAGAAGATACCAGGAATAACGCGCTCAGCTGATTGGACTGCTGTCAGAAAAAGACTGGGCAGTCGCAACTTTGCAAGGGAGAGGGAAGGGAGGGAGCAGAGAGCAGGGAATGTCTGCTGAGTAAGATGGTGCTCGTCTGCTGACAGCGCTGCGCACTCCGCTCTGCAACAGTTGTGGACCGTTGCCGACCAAGCTGAGGAGGATTGACGAACTCCCCTGCGGATGGCGGGGATGAGGGAGTGGGTGGTCGGGCACTGGGCATCTGATTTGACACTTCTGGGCGTCGCGCAGCAAAGAAGCGAGTTTGCTCGCAGAAATGGCGAACGTGGAATTTCGCATTCGGTGGAATTTTCCCTTCGCGCCGCGCACCAGGTGCTGCTGGGTGGAATCAACGAGAGCATTTGCGAAATCGCAGTGATCCGTCAGAGGGGGGAATGCACGAACACCAACATCCGAAGCACCTCTTCCATCTAATGTCGGTGGTTACGTCGCGCAGTCTTCGTCAAAATCAGGACGATAACGATGCCGCTGATGATACAGATAAAGAACGTGACAGCAAATGTATAATACACCTACGATCAGAGAAGCTAAATAGTCTAATCACTGCCAGTATTTCATCAATCCATACTCAAATCAAACCAAGCATAAAATATCAGGAAATTATCAGCTACAGAAAAGCTTATAGGTACGCTTCTAGCACCATCGGTAAATGTTCAATTAGCGAGCAACTCAAAGCCTCCATCCAGCACTACAGCGATTACTCCCAGCAAGATTCTCAAGCATCAGTCTTGGCCTTCTTAGCAGCAGGCTCCTCCTCCTTGGCATCCCCATTCTCCTTACCATTCTCCTTCCCGTCCTCCTCACCCTCAGCCTTCTTCTCCCCATCCTTGCCCTCATACGACGCGTTATGCACGCCCAGAGCAGCTCTGCCGGAGGGGTCAATGTTGTTGGCCCAGGCCGCGTCCCACTTGACTGCAGCCTCTGTGCTGCACGCTACACTCTTTCCCCATGGCACCGTCAAGCGAGCACACAGCTGAGCAGATGGTATGGAGAAAGAGGGGGACAAACAAGGGCAGGAGTGGTGATACATGAAGGAAGAGGGAAGTGTGACTGACTGGAATCTGTCCCAATTGACCGAATATTACCGGTAACACACAGCAACACAACGCCATTCTTAAAAACCAGAGAACATTTGATACCAGGAAGGGGGGTATTATCTCCCGTGTTACATGAAGGAATTACCTGGGGGAGGTGGTACCTGGGTCCTGGGGAAAGGTGTTACCTGGAGAAAGTATCACCGGAGGAAGGTGTTACCGGGGGAAGGTGTTACCTGGGGGAAGTAGTTACTTGGGGGAAGGTGTTACCTGGGGAAGGTGTTACCTGGGGGAAGGTGTTACCTGGGAACATGTTGGGCGCATTGGCGAGCATCTGTTACATGTTGAGCACATAGGCGAGGTGTTACCTGGGGAAGGTGTTACCTGGGGGAAGTGCTTCTCGAAGGTCATGCGGTAGAAGAAGGCCTCCTTGGTCTGGGGCGTGTTGATGGGGAACATGTTGGGCGCGTTGGCCAGCATCTGATCCGATACCATGTTCTCCGCGTGTGCCTTCAGCCCGTCAATCCAGCTGTACCCCACGCCGTCAGAGAATTGCTCCTTCTGGCGATACAGGATGTGCTGTGGTTGAGGGAGAGAAGGAAGGAGGGGGAGGAGAAGAGGATGACAGGTAGAATAAAGCGAATGCTCACGCCGTCACTGAATGCTCCTTCTGACGGTAGAGGATGTACTCCAAACGAGGATGGGGATGGCAAGGAGGTGGGGAGTCAGAGGCAGAGAGGGAGGGGGATGCATCACTCATCCAGCTGTACCCCACGCCGTCACTGAATGCTCCTTCTGACGGTACAGGATGTGGTGCAGTGAGGGAGGAGAGGGAGGGGGACGGGGAGGCGGAGTGTGGGGGAGGAAAGGACGACAGGAAGGAAACAATGCGTGACTGCTGCTCTGGCTGTACCCCACGCCGTCACTGAACTGCTCCTTCTGACGGTACAGGATGTGCTGTGAATGGGGATGCAGAGGGGATAGGATAGGAATGGGGAGAGGGAGAATGATGCAGAGGGGACAGGATAGGAATGGGGAGAGGGAGAAGGATGCATCACTCATCAAGCCATACCCCACGTTATCACTGAACTCTTCTGGCAGTACTGGATGTGCTGGGGTAAGCAGAAGGGAAAGTGGGGGGGGGAGCAAAAGGAGTAGCAAATGGAAGAGCAAAGGAGAGACAAGTGTGATTGGGAAAATGGGGGGCGGGAGCCGGTATAAATGCAGGCGAGTACCAGGTTTCCAATGTCTGCAGGATTGATTCTAGTACCACTACCTGGGCTACAGTTGCCTGGGCTACAAACTTTTGAGTCGACTCAAAAGTCAACGTCTGCAGGAATCATTTTAGTACCTATATCTGGGTTACAGTTGCTGCCACATACAAAATGTTTCCTCTTTCTGAGGTGGGATGCTTACATTAGGCGAGTATGAATGGGGGAAGGAAGGAAGGATGTGCTTACACAGGGAGGTGTGGGCTTACATGGGGCAGGTAGGGGTTCGTTTTGAGACGTCTCAAAACAGGGAGGTGTGGGCTTACATGGGGCAGGTAGGGGTTCTCGGGGTCGTCAAAGGCCTTGCGGATAATGTACTTCTCAATGCGCCCCTCCTTGGGCTTGATCTGCATGTGCCGAGGAGAGATGGGGAAATACGGAGGTTGAGAGAAGTGGAGGAGGGAGGGAGCGGGGTATACGTGGAGTCTCAAGTTAGCATTCTGACCACGGCTCTTATTGAAACTGTACTGAGGAGGGACAGTGAGAAAGACAGCGAGAGAACAGAGGAAGAGGGGTACGTACCATCTTGGCCTCGCGGTCGATGCTCTTGGCAACAACGTCCAGGACGCGGTGACTTTTGAGTCGACTCAAAAGTCGGTCGATGCTCATGGCAACAACGTCCAGGACTCATTGTCAAGGAACGGCACTCATGCCTCCAGCCCCCATGCCTTGGCCCAGTTTCTAAGGAAAGTGACAGGAGGAAAAGGGGCAGATCATACACCACAAGCGTACATACCATCTTGGCTTCGGGGTCGATGCTCATGGCTGTCTCCAGGAACTCCTTGTCCAGGAACGGCACTCGGGCCTCCAGCCCCCATGCCATGGTGGCCTTGTTGGCGCGCAGGCAGTCAAACTGGTGCAGCGCCTTCAGCTGGATCAGGGGAGGGGTGAAGGGGGAAGAGTACTTGGGTGAAAGATAGTGGGGAGAGAGAGTGTGGGATTCGAGAGCGGGGGGGGGAGGGTGGGAAGTGAGAGAGAGAGAGTGCGAGGCGTGAGAGTAGGAGGCAATTTCTATGGCCCACCTAGTGGCCCATCCCCATTCCAGCCCCAGCACTGATTCAAACCCCTACCAACCCCACCATACCTTGCGGCACGTCTCCTCATGGAACTCCTTCTAGTTGGGCGCCTTGTGGAAGTACAGGTACGTGCTAAAGACAGAGGGATCCATACCCCTACCCACCCATCCCCACCCCTACCCACCCATCCCCACCCCTACCCACCCATCCCCAACCCTACCCACCCATACCCACCTTGCGGCACGTCTCCTCATGAAATTCCTTCTTGTTGGGCGCCTTGTGGAAATAAAGATAGCCCCCGAACACCTCGTCACTGCCCTCCCCCGACAGCACCATCTTGACGCCCAGCGCTTTGATCTTGCGGCTCATGAGGAACATGGGCGTGCTGGCGCGGATGGTGGTCACATCGTACGTCTCTATGTGGTAGATCACATCTGATATGGCGTCTATGCCCTCCTGTTAGGTTGTGTGTGAGGGGGTGAATTGATCGGAAGGGGATGGGAAGAGGGGATGGGGAGGGATGGAAAGGGGATGGGACAGGTCGTCACGTCATACGTCTCTAAGTGGTAGAACACATCGGAAATCGCATCGTTGGCCTCCTGTGAGGTGCTGTGTGTGTTGGGGTAGCGCCATTCACACTGCATTGCACTGCACCACACTGCACTGCACTACATACACGACCTTATTCACTCCGGAAAGATACACCGCACCGCACCTGGACAGTGAATGGCAGTCTCACAAGAATCACCGCACCTGGACAGTGAATGGCAGTCTCACAAGAATCACCGCACCTGGACAGTGAATG